TCTGGGCAGCCTGTCCCAGGGCTCCAACACCCTCACAGGAAAGAGGTTTTTCCTCATGTTTAAGCAGAACCACCACTGAAAGGAGTCTATCCCCGTCCTCTTGACACCCGCCCTCTAGATATTTATAAACACTGATAAGGTCACCACTCAGTCTTCTCTTCTCCAGGCTGAGCAGCCCCAACTCTCTCAGTCTTTCCTCATCAGAAAGATGCTCCAGCCCCTTAATTATCTTTGTAGCCTTCACCGAGTCGCGCACGGCAGTGTCCAAGCCAGAGCCTTGACTCATGTGGCCCATCTCCCACACCATCCATAGAAAGCTGTACTTAGTCAAGTGCAAAATTCTAGAAAATTGAATGTAACTTGTGAAAAACTCGTGTATTATGAGGGGCCTCCTGGTATCCTTTTGTGTTTCAGAATTATGCCAATTAATTCTCTAAGGATGGGAAATATTTGTAGCCATATTGAAATCTATTGATGTATGTAGAATAGGTTAAGTAAAGAAATTATATGTAACAGTCTTAATATGACATTTTAATTGCTACATCAGACATATTTTCAAGTACCAAGTACTAGGAACTGATAAAAAAGAAGTTCGTATTTTAAAAAAATCAGAATGATGGAAGCCATTTAGAAGCTTTTATTGTATCGTGCTGTCAAAATGTTCAACTGACCTTTTCTACACAGTAAATTTCTCCAAGGAAGATTTTATACAAGCTATTTCAATAGCACTGATTTCCAACCCTCTCATTGTTTTTGGATTAGATAATGGTCAGAGTAAGAGAAATGCCAGATCCTTACACATGTTCTAAAGATGACCAGGGACATTATGTATATACTAACTCTCTGCAGCCTCGTTTAAATAGATATTTCTGAAGGCATTGTTTGCCATTCTTGCCCTCTGTAGCAGTCATGTAAGTGACAGCTCTCTGTGAATCTTCACCCAGCAGCAGAAGGCAGCACATAGACTTACCATGAGATAACATGAGTTATCTCAGCTCAAGGGCTGAGGTAGGCTGGACCATTTCTTGACATAAATAATGCACAGGCTACAAAGAGATGGGTGTTCTCACACTACCTGTGCTTTGAAGAGCTCATCATCCTTGTAGCACTAGTTCGATAGTCCACTGTTACCATTATCATACCTTCAACCAAAGGCTGTGTGGTGTTGCACCTACACAGGCACTTGAAACTTCATATTTAGGAGCACTGAGATGCAGCAACTCTCTGGCACTTTGAGGGAAATCATGAAGGACAGTGCTTTGGAAATATCAGAATATATTCAGAAATATCAGTATATTTCACCAAGGGAAAAACAAAGAGCAGTTGGACACATGGTCCCTGAAAAGATAAAAATCTGTGGAGGGCTGTAGGGAGGGAGGCAGGTTCCCCAGGCACCAGCTCATGGCAGCTCAATGCATCCCCAAACCTCTCTGAGCAGATGAATTCTCTCTTCCACACAGGCTCTGCAAATCACTGGGGGGAATTCTCTGTCACAGCAGCACAGTCAGATATTAGTAAAACCTTTTTCTGCTTTTACAACATATTTATACATAAGTGTGATTTAGAGCTCTGTGCAATGTCACCAGGGCTGCATTGCAATGACCTGCAGAAAAAACAGGGTGTTTCTGCACTTCAGGATAATATTGATTTAGGGGCTGGTACAACAGCACATGTGGGCTATTTTATTTAGTTTCTAGGCATTCATATTCAAAAATTGCCCTATAAAGAAGGGAGAAGGCATTAACAAAAGTTTAAATGCTCTTAAATCATAAAGAAGCATTGTGTTTAGAGTGAACTGAAACATTTGGATAGACTCAAAATAGCTTTTTTTCACGGAGAAGTATTTTGTTGATGTGTTAAATTTAAAATTAAAGTCTCTGACTGTGACTCTTTTTCATTTTTTGGTACTTTGCTTAGGTTATCAAAATAAAATAGGTATTACTCTTCCAGCTATTTGAAAACTTAGGCTGCTCTGTGATTTCATAGAATCATAGAATGGTTTGGATTGGAAGGGACCTTAAAGCTCATCTAGTTCCAACCCCCCTGCCAGCAGCAGGGACACCTTCCACTAGACCAGGTTGCTCAAAGCCTCATCCAACCTGGCCTTGAACACTTCCAGGGAGGGGGCATCTACAAGTTACTTCCTTGGGCAACCTGTTCCAGTGTCTCACCACCCTCACAGTGAAGAATTTCTTCCTAATATCTAATCTAAACCTCCCCTCTTTCAGCTTAAAGATCATTAGTGATCTCCCTAGGTTGTCCCATGGGAATGACAAAAGAGGACTCAAGTAGAAATTATGAGGTTAAACACTGGAGACATTAAGAGCCTGATTTTGAAAAGTACCTTCTACAGTGAGAAAAGTACCTGGCAAACACCAGCAGTAAAACACAGAGAGATGAAAACAAATCTGAATAATTGATTCATTGTTTAGTTTCACTGCAAAGAAAAATGTTTTTACTTCATTAAGGTATTATCAAGATTTTTAATACCATATCCACTTCTTTTTAAACTGTTCTCTTCTTTTGAAAGCTATGTTAAACCTCTTCCTAATAACTCCTGTGATTAGCATCTTTGGAGAAATCCCAGAGGAACAGCTTCTAAAAGTGGCATTATATTTCTGGAACCTCCCTGTAATTAAGCATCTATCAGGCTTTCTATTCAGTTGTATAGAACTACTCTGCAGAAAATCCTTTATTGTTTGAATAAAAAGAGATGTTTTGTTTAAACTTAGCAGAAGGATTGCATTTATGTTATGAAATATAAGAATTTTAGATTAACTGGGGGAAAAAAAAAAGAAAAAATAAAAAGAAAAGGAAAAGTACTCATTGCTTAATGGACACAAGAAGGTCTGCAAGTGAGCTGCCATGGCAGAGGACAGCTCCTGCTGGAAAGGGATGATGCAAAAAGCTCTGTCAACTCTGTGAAACAGTTTGTTGAATTCAGGATAGGGATTATTAAGCATCACCAGGTGTAAGTGATATTTGCTTAACCACAGTAAAGAAAAAAAAAAATCTTAAGTTTCTACAGTCACTTCTTTAGTGAGATGCCATGAGAACATGAAACACACACTCTTCTGGCTTTGGTAGTATCAACACAAGATGTCTAACACTGAGCATGACTCCCAAGTGAAACACCTTGTCCTAGGGAATTAATATCCTATTCATCCTCTGGAATCCTTAGATCAAAATTGAATATCATTCTGTAATATGTGCTTTCTCAATTTTTTTTTATCATTGATGATTTTATTTGATGTCAGTGTGTGTGGAGTTCTCCCTGGAAGTTCAGCACATGGGCTCTGTGAGTAATGTCAGGGACCAAAGTTTTGGTAGCTTCCTAGATGAATTCCTCTTTTAGACTCTCTTACTGCCAATTTATCCTCCTATACCTGTGGATAAGAAACATGTTTAATACACTGTTTGAAGGACTATCATGTACAGACAGCCCTTTATCCTTTTGCTTATTCTTGTGCTTACACATCACCATCCCCATTTGAAGCATTTTATTAAAAAAAAATAAATATGGGGTGATATTTGATTCACTTGTAATTATAAATGGTTACAAAAATGACACAACAAGTATTTGACAGTGGTTAAAAGAAGACACACTTCAGAGTTAAGCGGGAAGGAAGAAAAGGTCCCTCAGTAAGGATAGGAGGCAAAAAAAAAGTCTTTTATCAGATGTTCTTAAAGTTGACACGTGTGTGAATTCACATTTGGTCTTTTCTCCCAAATAACAAGTGACAGGACAGGAGGAAACACCATTAAGTTGCTCCAGGGGAGGTTTAGGTTGGATATTAGGACAAAATCCTTCACTGAAACGGTTGTCAGGCATTGGTACAGGCTGCCCAGGCAAGTGGTGGAGTCCCCATCCCTGGAGGTATTTAAAGGACGTGTAGATGTGGCACTTGGGGACATGCTTTAGTGGTGAACTTGGCAATGCCAGGTTTACGGTTGGACTAGATGATCGTAATGGTCTTTTCCAACCAAACTATTCTATGATTCTATGATTTTGAGCTGTGTGTACTGACATGAAAGCTGTTTTCACTCTGGTGTTTAATTTGTTATTCTAATAACTCAATAGATTGAAGGGCTTAATTAGATGCTTTTGTTTATATTTCCAGATGATGAAAATCACTGTTGTTCTCATTTATACCTTCACATCCAGCCCAAAGATGAATCTACACTTTCAAGCTACAGCAGAGAATAATATCAGCTGAGAGAACAACTGAACCTGCCTGAAGACAGATGTATTTCAACCTCCCTTCAAAAAAGGTATTCAGCATCTCTGCTACTTTTGTTGCTCAGAATAGTCTTTGCATGAAAAAGCCATTTAAAGTGTAACATATCTCATATTATAACAGATACTGGCTCATTCAGCTCTGGTTCAAGGCTTGCTGATGTCATTGAAAGTCTTTCTATTGAAATCAGTGGGCTTTGGGTTGGTACATACGATTCCTTTTATTTAAGATTCCCTTTTCTGAAGGAAATAGTACAGTACAGTTCAGCTAATACGTTGTACAACACCCCCTGTAACACAAACAAGGGCAAAAAGTAAACAAATAGCTTTTATTTAATTGAAAGTGGGTTTTTTTTACAAGTTTCATTGAAGAACATGAGATAAATAATATCCACATCACAAGCAATTGCAAGTCTCTGAGTTATAACAGCTTGGCACAGGTCTTTTGGCCGTTACACTGGAGTTTCAATAAGAACTACTGCTTGTAAAAAATTCGAGACCACTCCCCTTACAATCTCAAGTTATGTTTGGCACCACTCCATTTAATTAATGCATATACATTTATCCATTAATTTCAACGCTTATTTTTAAAAATTAACGTAATATTGATACTTTATGTTTTCTTAATATTAGACCACTTCTATCTCCCGCCCCCATTCCCATTGTTTTTCTTTATCAGGAATGTTGGTCAAGGTGAAATATTAAGATAAAATCTACACATTGTTTATTTTGAAAAGTCCATAGCTGATCATTGCTTTAATCATCAAGGAAAAGGGTGTATGAGAACAGAACTCAACATCAGGATCCCAGCTGTCAATACATGGTTTATCCTTTGGGACAATTTTATTGCTTCAGAGCTTAAACCTGTAAAAATATAAACATACACAATTTTCTGACAAAAGTAAATTTGTGCCAGGAAAAAAAAAGAAAAAAAAAAAGAAAGAAAATACAAGGAAAGAAAAAAAAAGGTTCTATGTATTCTAGCGTAACAATTGTCCTGGTTTTTAGCTGAGACAGAGCTGGGTTTCTTTTTAATGGCTAGAACAGTGCTGGGGTTTGGATTTGTTATGAGAAAAACGTTGACAACATACTGATGTTTTCATATGGTCGCTGGAAGTTGAAGGACTTTGTGTTTTGCCAGTCTGCAAGTGCAAGATCTAAGGGGGTGAGGAATATTTAAATTAATAAGCTAAATATCATTTGGCTCTGCCAATGGACTATTCCATCTAATATCATGTCATGGGCAGGATATTAAGCATTTGGCTCTGCCAATGGGCTATTCCATCTCATGGGCAGGATATTAACGAGGGGCTTTTCCTCTCTTGCTCTCTCTTCATTCTGTTTTCAAAACGAAACATTATTCACAAATGTTATTTCTATTTGTTTATATTTAAATGCCATGTATATAGTTTCTAATCAGCTTCCCACCCTCCCTGTGAATATCCACTTTTAGCATGGTTTTGGCTAATTTGTTGCAAAACTATGCTCCTTTTTGCATGAATAATAAGGTAATTAGGAAAGCAGAGGCTGGACCCTGGGCAGTCCCACCCCAGCCACAGAGCAGGGCACAGGTTCTCTGTCCCAGCAGCAGCTCCAGAGCAGATTAAGAGCTACATTACATGTGAGAGCTGCAGCTTTGACTTTAAAAAGAAAGCTTCTTTATTTCTCTGTCCTTCCCTGAGCATTATAGACCAGGGCAGATGGAGACCTACACTAAAAATAAGGTCACATCTAGGTGTTGTGCAAAATACTCTCTCTGTTAATGGAAGTGAGAGGACTGGAGACTAATCTACACGTACCCAGCATCACAAAGCAACAGGAGAGACGCCACCTATGGTAATAGGAAATCTGTTAATCCATTGTATGTACTTCTTAGAGGCACACAGATTTCTTTTTACACAATAATATTCAGAAGGAAAAAAAAATAATCTCACGTACTCGATATTTTTGGAATCCTAATTTCCTCACTGCTGCTGCCATCCCCACCGTCACTGACTGTTCTTATTTCTATGAGATAATCTTCTTCAAACGGTACCAGAAGTTCAGCTGAAGTGTTGTTTGTCTCCAGTATATGAGTTTTGCTATGTCTGTTCTGTCTATACAAAATCTAAGTAAAGAGGGATTAGAAAATAAGAATTATTTACATTTTTTTATGGTTTAATGTATTTTTTGGGGACTGAGAATATCTTTTATCATGTCTCAAATTTTTCAGAGCATCGTGAGCATCCTGCAGAGTATTCAACTTCATTCAAAACATAGAAATATATTCTGCAGAATTTTGTGATGGAGATCACAGCAGGCATTTACTCCACCTGTGTTTTGGAGGAGAACCTTTGTCTGCTAGAACAGAAGCTTACCTTGAGAGTAGGGTTATGAAATCCTTATCCAATAGACTTGTGCTCCGCTGTAAATATGGAAGTCAGACACACCTTTAAACAAGACTTCAGCCTGTAACACCTTTTATATCCAGAACTAATGTGACACTTTAGGAACTGAAGCTTTAAGTGGTTTTTTTTTGGTTTGTTTGTTTGGGTTTTTTTATTTCTCCTGTTGATGGCGAGAATTTAAAGTCAAGTAGAAATATTCATGTTGACTTTCATGTAAAAATACCACTTGCTAAAGAAAACATGGGACATGGCATAGCTGTGTGTTTTTAAAGGCTCAAAGAAAGGACAGAAATTTGGAGAGTAGCATCTGAGTTTCTGCTTAAAGAAACACATTTCTACAACTAAACACGATGGATCCATGCACTTGGGTCTTTCTGCTAGTGAATCATCAGGCCAAGGTGCAGAGCAGCTTGGGGAGTCCAGACAGGGATCCTACAGAATATAATCAGCTTTTTTCCTCCAGGAAGCCTTTCTTCCTTGCTAACACAGCAATGACACTGGTTGACTCCTTTCTCTTGACAATCTTTTGACATATTTATGCAAAAAAGAGCAAGTGAAGAGCAAAGCAGATGGAGAAACAGGGATGGTGCAATAAATACTGCAGCAAGTACTTAAAGCAATATTTCCACATCAAAATGTAACAAGCAAGTGTAGCCTCAGAGCAGGTAGGTTAGACACAAAGGAAAAAAAGCTTAATAATCTAGTTTTAACTTTTTCCCCAGTGTTCAGAGCTGCTCAGACATACTCACTAGGGTGGAAAAGAATGTGATCTCAAGAAAGATTGCAAGATGGGGGTTTTTTTTGTGTCCTTTTCATCCCTAGGCATAAATAACTCTGAGACACTAAAATGCCTAGCAACATGAGGATCTGCATCCTCAGAACCTTTCCTCATGTAAGCACTCTCCACCTTCATTTTTACAGTTCTTCAGGAGTAAAAAAAGTCTTTCAATAAGTCTTTTGGATTCAGAGCTGCTGCAGAACAACTTTAAACTAAATTTTCCTTTCCTTAAAAAATAGATTTCTGGAAGTGCTTTCTACTTCACTCACATTGATCTTTACATGAGTATCTTCCTTTCTATTTTCAAAGGTACATTTGTGAATTGCCAAAGAGTGAGAACTTTTAACTGTGTTTTAGACCTGTCTTTAATGCTTAAGAGATTCTTCTCTATTTCTTATATACGCTTGAAACTCCTTTCCAAAGATTTGAATGCAAGAATCTTAGATGAGTAAGATTCCAAGGGAAATGGGACAAGAGATATCCAGCATTTGGGACAGAAAATCCCTGTGTTAGGATAAAGAGGTCCTACTCTGAATGAATCCAGCTCTTCTTCCATTTGTATAAACATCAGCCAACCATCCCAACAGCTCCAGGAAATTCACTGTTTTCCGGGTAATGAGCAGTTGTATTTCAACAAGTCACTGTACTTACCTCTATTATAAACAATATTTCTGATTAATGAGATAAAGAAATTACTTACTTTGTAACCTAGTACCTCTGATTCATTCTCCATTGTTTTTACATGTTCCCAGTTCAAGCAGATTTTGGAATTTGTCAGCTTCCAGGCGATGTTTGCCGGGGGTTGACTTGGTGCTTTAAAAAAAAAAAGAAAAGATGATGATAATCACAAGATACAACTGAATATTAATTTGCAGAGTGTAATTGAATGAGCTGCTGACATGGAAGTAGCAAATGCATGGGTGATTCAAACCTAAAAGAATAAAGAATATTTTCCAGTCCATCATCCTTCTCGTATTAGTCAGAATAAAGATCTATTCATAGCACAAAACCACTTACTGGGAGAGTTCATTTTGGAAATTAGGAAAAGCCTGACAGCGTCTGACAGTTCAAGTTGTGTTTGACAGATTTTATTTAAGTCCCACATTGTTCCTATCTGTATTTTAACGTACTAGAGAATGTTTTGCTGTATGGATTGCAGAAAAAGCTAAAACTAAGAGCAAAATACAAAAGCCAAGATTTTCATCAGCAATGAGGACAGGTTACAAAGAGCTACACATTAAAGTCTCCATGTGATCCATCATGAAACATTGTAGGATTTTATAAATTCTCAGCACAATAGGCTGAGAGGAGCTTTTCAAAGGCTTTTTATGCCTAAGTGCCAGGACTTTGAAAATTTGCCTGCAAGTGACTGAAATCGAATCCTGTGTGAACATGTGAAGTTGAAACTGTGCCTTTGAACTGCATCTCAGATTTAGAACAACACATTATCTCCTTCTCCATGGTGCATCCTCCTGGATCCTGCCTGGGAGGATGGCACCAGAGGTGTTAGAGGAAATAAGAACTTTAACAGAATTAAGAAATAGGAGGAGACATTTGGAGAAACATGCTGTGAGTTTCCCAGACCTGACTTTAAAATACTCAACTTCCAAGATCCTTCTTTGCTCCCTACAGTTCCTATATATTGATGATTCATGTATGTAACTTGGAAGGTACTGTTGATTCAGTAATGCTCCACAATTTCTTTCATTTCCCATGGAGGTAGAATAAATTGATGGTGCCTGTTGTTTCATATCTACCATCTGCTTCATGACTGTGGAGAAGTTTAATCCATCCCACCAGTAGGTAAAGAAGGTGTTAGTGGACCACCCAGGTGAATATAAGCAGATGTCCTTCCATGAGCTACACTGTCACTGCTGGAAAAAGATTAATATTTTTTTTTAAGGCATTTAAATACATTCACATACATAAAACTGTAAATTTACTTAAATGTTGTTTTAAAACTCTTTGTTACTTTCAGGAAACATTTTATGTAAGGAATTTAGTAACAAAAAACTCCCAGAAGGCAAAGGATGTCAAATACTCCTGAACAAAGACTGTGTACTCTGAAAAGCCTTGACAGCACTCAAAAATGAGTGAGTAGTGCCTTATTCAAAGCTTTTTAGCGTAGTATTTAAAAACCATCTTAATTCATAGTCTTTGGGCTGAAAAATCATCACAGGATGATTTTCAAAACAAAATGATCTGCTTTTGCTATAAAACCAGGGACCAGAATAGGTGGTAACGTGGCACTTCCCCAAATCCACAGTAAAATCCACAAGTAAAAACACTGCAAGTGTTTCTTCAGATCCAAGATTAGCAGATCATTTCCTCAACTAATTTATTGTAACCAACATTGTCAAGAATAACAGAAGTCCCAAGTATACGCTTAAGTTTATCAAGTTAATTACATTACTCTGGTGTTTTAGGTGACACTTGGCTTTGTTGCTGTACTGAGTTGAGGTTTATCCTTGCAAAGCATCTCTAATACCTATATCTGTTGATGTATATGTTTGTAAAGAAAAAGAACAAGCAAAGAAATTTCTGAAAAGCATGACACAGAAGTAAAGAAGCAGAAGAGTTGAGCTTTACAACAGCTTCTAATGGAGCAGTGTGTTCATGGAAAGAGGACATCACTTTCCTAAGTAGTTCAAACTTAAACCAGGATACCAGCTTAGACCTTAAATTGATCTTAGATAAGTATGATTCAATCAGAATTGCACCTATTTGGCAGAAGGACCATTTTAGTTTTGCTTAGTCTCAACAATAACAGTATGAGCAGAACATTGTAGGAATCCTGGAGAAAGAGGAAGAAGACAGAGCTATTACCTTGAAGCTAAAGCTGCTGCTGTAGATGCACATTGTTTATATTCTCTTGACATATTATCTCTACTTATATTGAAAATGCTTGCATACTTCAGAGACAAGAGCTTAAAATTTTAATATAAGTTTTTAAATATTAAAAAGGTTATTTTGACTTTAATTTTTAAATGAACCATTAGCACAATCCTGAATTTGAGAGACGGTGAAGTCAATGTAAAACAAAAGCAAATTTATTCCTTACATGTCTTGTCACTTGACTGCCATGTCTTTAACTCGTCTTTCATACATATGTATGTACAAATAAAGAGAATAATTTCCACAGATGAGTCTATTTTCCATTAAGAAGTTGCCTGTGAAAAAAGTCCTGTTGAGTCCTTAAGAAATGCCTTCTCTGGCTTTGTTTTGGTTTATGATAACAGAAATATATTAAATTATATTAAATGGTAATATAATATATTATATTAAATGGTAACAGCATATAGACAAGAGGAAAATTGGTGAAAGACAGGAGAAATATTTCCCTTTTTGTGCAAAAGGGCTGATCAGTTTTTTACTGAGAAAACAAAGTCCAAGGAAAATAGAAAAAAAATGGCACACTTAAAGAGTAAGGAATTTTAGGCACTTTGGTACATAGCAGATTACCAAGATTTCCTGCTTTATGATTATTTTGCTCCTAATGACCATTTACTTCATGGGTTCAACCCTGCAGGATGGTGCTCAGTGCTTCCTTGGAGGATGTCCCCATGAAAGCACTGCTTTCATGAAGTTGCTTCTCATAAACAGGACAGCATGTGTTTCTGCTTCTACAATTGCAGGAAATTTTTAAAATTAATGACTAAATAGTATTTATACAATTGTGTCCCATGTGCTGCCCTCTGTAGTGCACAGTTTTGAGGTCTCAAAAAAAGCACTGCATTTGGAGCATTCAACAGTTTTCTTTAAAATACCAACCCCATATTCTTACACCCAAATCTATTGTTTGACCTGTGGAACATCTTTGATCTCTTTTGAAATCTCCCAAAAGCACATGGCTTGCTGTTGCAATGCAAAAGGAAATCCTTCCTGATGGGAACACAAACACTGCTGTTATCTAATTTTGTGGGTGTACAGAATTACTTTAGCATATAAATAGAATAAGGTAAATGAAATAACGTGATTTAAGTTGATGAGAATTTTGGATTCCATTGAGACAGACTTGAAGCTAAATACATTAATGTCTTAAATGTCTTGGGGGGACCTTGTTGCTGGGAGACCTTGTTGCTCTCTACCAGTCCCTGAAAGGAGGGTGGAGAGAGGTGAGGGTGGGTCTGTTCAACCAAGGACCAAGGGACAGGACAAGAGGAAATGGCCTCCAGTTGCACCAAGGGCAGTTGAGATGGGATGTGAGGAAGAATTTCTTTGCTGAAAGGGTTCTGAGGCATTGGAAGGGGTTGCCCAGGGCAGTGGTGGAGTCCCCATCCCTGGAGGGATTGAAGAGTTGTGTAGACATAGTGCTGAGGGACATGGGTTAGTCGGGGACTGGTCAGTGTTGGGTTCATGGTTGGACTCGATGAGCTTAAAGGGCTTTTCCAATCCAGGTAATTCTGGGATTCTGTGTGAAATACCAGAGTCTGAGTAAACTTGATAGTGAAGAGAAGAGACAGAGAAGTTTCTTAGTCACAGATTTTGTTACTTAGTTTTATGAAGAACTTTGGGATCCAGTTTTCTCTGATATTGCAACATTTAGCAGAGATGGGTCAGGGTAAGCTGAAATGTCACTATCACACTTGGGATTTTGCAACATTTGTAGTAGGAAATTGAATACTCACGTGACTTTTTAGTGGTGACATTTACCGGGGTGCTGGAGGGCCCCGTCCCTGCAGTGTTGTAAGCTCGAACTGTTGCAAAATACACTGTGTTAGCTTTTAATCCTGTGATATTTTTGGCTGTTACATTCCCATTGACTCTGACTTTACCAGCTGTGCTTTCCTTGGGATCATCAGTCCAATATAAAACCTGAAAAGCGAGAACAAAGAACAGGTAATTCATTGTTTTCCATCAATTACAGATTTGGCTGGGAAGCAGACATGCTGACAATGAAGATTTCAAGGAATACAGGATTCTTTTTTTAATTTAAAACTAGCAGGAAATAAAGCCAAGCATGTATATTTATAGAGAAGAAATAAAATTTCAGAGACTGAATACCAATTAAAGAAGTAAATGAAATCCTTAACTTTATAGATGTCCAAAAGGAAACCTTTGATAAGGTGAGAAATTTTAAAAGCTTGTTTGGTTTTATAGTATGAACACATTTGAAGAAAACTTTAAAAGACAGAAAAAAACCTCATTTATCTCAGTCATCTAAGAGGTTTTTAAATTACTTTGTATCCTGCCTCTAGTTTTGATTCAGGGACAGCTATTTAGATCTGAGTTTGGTATTTTTTTTTTCAGTGAGTAATTGATTTAGGAAGGTTTGTGGACTGTACGTGACTCTTATTAACTTCATTTATATATTTGCCATGATAAGACAGAATTTAAAGTATTTCTGTCTTGCTTTACTCTTGATTTATCTTAGCTACCAAAAAAAAAATAAAAATAATAATAAAAAAATAGTTTCACTGTGCAAGTAAAATGCCCAGGAATTGTATCAGTTACTTCTATGATTCTAAAAGGAGTAAGAAGTCCAAAACCTTTCAAATACACCACAGCACAAGCTTTGGATAGCAATGAAGTACAATTTATCCTGGTTTCTTCTGTAAGCAGTGCTATGGGTTATGTGCATGCCCCCAAACTATCAAGAACCCCATCATGGTCAGCCAGCGTCACAGCTGTGTAGGAGGAGGCAGGATCAGCTTTGGTTTGTGGAATTAACCACGAGTCCTTTTATAGCAGCTATCACAAATGATTAATCTTGAGGTTTTAACTTATAATACCAAAAGTCTAGGACAGAGCTGCAGCGCTGGTCTGTGAATGCTTGTGATTATCTCAGGTGAGATGTTGCTAATGAGAGTTGGGTGAAGAGTTTCATTGTCTGTTGATTTGGAAGCAAAGGAGAAGGAACCAGAATACAAATGTGGCTAGGAAAGGGACATCTGTGAGGTGACAGACACCAGCACCAACTGCCTCACCTCATAGCCCAGCACCCTGCCCGTGTGCCTGTTCCACGCGATGGGCTGCCAAGAGACCTCCACCTCTGCCGCCGAAATGCTCAGGGCTGAAGTCCCCACTGGTGTTATCTGAGGCTCTGGGTGATGGGAGAAAACACAGCTGGTAAAACATTTGTGTCACCAACAGACTGTCATGTTAGGAACAGAGGGAGATTCAAGAAAAGAGGAAAAGGGTTTGGGAGGAAGCAATAGGCAGAGGTTCAGGAAACCTGGTGTGAATCCCTAGCTTTGCTACCTATTTGTTATGGAACATCAACAAAGCCAAAAGTTTTCAAAATTGCTCATGACCCATAAACTGGGACACATTTTCAGAGGACATCAGCTGCACTGAGTGGTCTGAGAAGCTAGACCCTCCAAGAGCTACACTTTTGAATTTCTCCCAGTTTTCCCAGCCCACTCAGTGGGAGCTCCTTGGGGACAAATAAGCATGCTGTCTTCTCCAGGCAACACTGAAAATCTGCCCCTGATGTTTTTTTAACTTCTTAACTAATTTCCCATCTTCTCTCTCATATCTCTTGTCAATCTTCAATGAGAAGCATTGAGCAGGCTCCTTAATATCCCCGTGGAGATCCCTCTGATCATATCTAGGACCTATTGATGCTACACAACCATTACTGATAAGAGCAAGAGGCATTACCGTCTTCTCCTGAGTAGACAATGGATATGGAGCTCAGGGTCCCTTCTCCTTCATTGTTGTAGACACCAACTTTTACTTCAAAAGGAGAAAGAGGTGTAATGCTTTCATTCCTATAAGCATATTTGCTTGCTTCCACTGAAGCCACCACTGCTTTGGTCCAGGTTGTTGAGCCAAGAGGACGAAACATAACGATGTAGCCAAAACCTTCCCCATTTTGTAGTTCTTCTGGGACTGGCTGTGGTGACAAGGCAGTCAAGTCAATAAGCACTTGCAAGTATACATTGTTTTAATTGAATCTCCATTCCCTGAGTATATTTTAGTGGTATTGATTTAGGTGACTGTGCCTTAGAGAAGATAATAATGTTTGCTCCATCAGTCAATGTAATATTGAAATAAAAATCAAAATAATAAATCTATCAAGGCATTCAATTTAGAAACAAAAGATCTGATCAGCTCCATTAAAGTTATTCTCTTTCAGGCATGAAGTTTTCAAAACTAAAAGCATTTCATTCAGCACAAGATATAGCTGATTTTTTTTTATCCCCAAGGGGTCTAGGAATGCTAATTTTAAAGATATTATATTTGAAGAAAAAAGTCAGGAAAGGAGCAAATGTATACACAGAAGTTTGTCTCAGCTGTATAATTGCCTGCATATGAGTACAGTACTTACATTTTTTTAGCACAAGTGAAAGTCTGAAGTGCACAAACATATTCTTATTTAGGTTTGTCTAGAACAGAAATGTTCTTGCAAGTCAACATGGTAAAATTAATGCTCCTATTAATAAAATCTCATGTCAAGATATGTATTAATGACTCATACTGAACAGGCAATTATATTAACACTGTATCCAGCATGAACTTTTTTTTGTTTTCTTGGGTTAAAAATAATTCTACATTGGCTTCTCAAAGCAAGAGAATATTTATGAAACAAGAAAATATCAGCAATACATGGAGGAAAGAATGTTTCTCAGCAAAACTTAATTTATTTTAGATGTTTGCATAGAAGTAAGGTGCATGGAAAAGGAGTCATGAAAAATGGTGCAAAAGGAGAGCGAAAAACACAAGGGCAGAACCTCAGTCCCTGTGATCATTCCTGGCTACAAGCTCCTCTCCTGCACTCAAACTCCTAGGAGCACTAATGGTGTGAACAAAAAAAATGAAGAAGTACCTCAGAAGATTTCAGGGCACTCATTTTATTCTTTTCTTCATAAATTCCTTCTAATTCTATTAATAACCCTGGCCTGGCATATATTACAAATGTGTCTTTCCTCAAGTGTTTGTCAAACATTAATTCCCCAACATGCCCTTTCTACCTCTTATCCAGTCCTGAGAGAGTTAAGTGTGAGTGATGATGGTGCACTGGTGATTTATAAGAGTTCAAGCTACTTTCTAGAGCATTTAATTTGTTTTTGAGGCTTCTGTGACCTCAGATTTAATCAAGATGTTTAGTGAGTTCATCACAGAAAGCAGGAGGGTTGTGTTCAGTGGCATAATTAGTATTTCTTCTGACTCTTTTTCAGGACACACTATGGAGTCCAACAGGATAATTTGATTGAGATCTCTCAGGTTGTTTTCAATTTTCATGTTCTCCTGCTCCCAAAGATTAGATCAGGAGAGGAGAAGATGAAACAAAACAGTGAAAGATGCATATGGAGGAAAAGGTAGTTCAGGAAAAGTGAAGTTTCACTCTGTTCAGGGCATGGAGAGCAGAAAGAATTGACAATATTATTTATCTAGTGGGCATTTTTTTTCTTTGACCTCATTTTTTTCCTATCACTTCCCTTCCTCCCCCAGAAGGCTGGTTATATGGTGCAGCTTTTAGAATAGAGGAGAACACAGGCAAGTCACTCAACTGACTGAGTTTTAGTTTAATTTTTAACTTTTATTTTAATATAACTTTTAGTTAAATTTAATTCATTTTACTTTCCTTCAAATTGTATACATGAGCTTGGTTATTTCCTTAGAAAAAAGAAGTCAAGGGAGGGACCAGACTGCTTTCCTTGCTTAAGTTGAACTAGAAGTCTTTTTTTCATGAAGAAATGTTTTCCATGACCTACAAAGTGAGTGTCACATTTTTGGAGGCCCTGTTGCACATTAGGAACTCAACAGGGTTCATCTTGTGCAGCCTCTGAGACAGTCACACCTGATAGTGAGATACATGGCAAGGCTGCCTGTCCCCTGCCCTCCAGGTTGGGTGCTGCTAATGGCATGGAGTAGCTCCTACTTCTATAGGACAGAATGTCAGATGTCATCAACCAGATGTCCTCAGAGCCAGGGGAGAGATTTAATGAGGTGAGTCACATTAAATTCTTATATATTTTTCAGCCATAATGAAAAATCCAGAGGGTGGGAGCTGTGTTTTGGGGAGATGTTCCATAGGGGCTAGAGCCCCAATCAAGCACCTGCCCCATCATTGCATGGGCTTTACAAGATGCTACCTGCCTTCATCATGATGTCCATGGGAAGGCTGTTGGGTGGCTGGAGAAGAAGGGCTCCTTCCCACAACATTTACTTTCCACTCTTTAAATGACCTGTGCTCACCCATTGCAACTTGTAGTTATGGTATTAACTGCTCTGAAAATGTATATTCTCTCCTCTCACTGGAGTGCTGGAGAATTAAAGAGCTCATCTCCTTTAACACATAATAGGATATGTCTTGTCAGCACAGTGTTCCAGAATGAAAAACATGTAAACAAAAGTCTGAAAAATGTTAATGCAGAAAATGGCCAAGCAGATTAGTGTGTTAAGCACCTCCTGTACAATGGAGATAAGAGGGTTATACAGACTTCTAAACATCTTTATAACATGCCTCTTAAACTGTTTATTTTTATAAATTGTTCCCTATAACACAGAAAACTTGCTGTATATCTTACAGGCTCTTCTCTCTGCAGATGCAGGATGAAATCCAGGCTCAGCCAAAGTCAGTGACCAAAAGCCTTTGGATTTCAGCAGGGCTGTGATTTCACCCATGGACTCTTCCCCATTAGACAGCTTAGGTTAATTGGGCTAACAGTTACCTCCCATGTGATGACCAGCTCAGAACGGCTTCCTCCTCCTCCACTGACATTCGTTGGTGCCACAATGGGAACTGGAGAAGAAAAGACATTAGTGCTTGCAAGTACCCACCACTACTGCTGGGGTCATGTCAAGTGGATGATTAGAGCTTTCTCTGGCTCACATGCAGCTATTCTGCCTTTCACCTTGAAGAATGTGTCCAGTTTTGGGCCCCTCACTCCAAGAAGGACATGGAGGTGCTGGAGCATGTCCAGAGAAGGGCAACGGCGCTGGGGAAGGGTCTGGAGCACAAGTGTGCTGAGTTCCC